TTTCAGCATTCATTTGTAGTTTCGACAACAAACCGCAGTTTCGGCACAGTGATTGAGTTTCGGCAACAAGCCGCAGTCTCGGCAAAGTGATTGAGTTTCGGAGTATTAGTTTCTACAACCTTTTTTTTCCGAGTTTCGGCATTATCACATTTTAGTTTAGGCAAACTTCTATAGTATGATCAATGTCACCATCTTGATCAGTACCGCCACCAAATGAAGATAATTCTTTATTACTTGATCGATCAATACAAATTCTGTCGCCTGAAACTCTTAGTTTAGGTTTAGGCTTAAAGTAGGTTCTCAACCAAAATATTGAGGGAATTCAAGATCGCCTCATTGATCAGCACCTTCAGTTCATTCATGATTTGACAACATTATATTTAGGAATTTATTTCAGTAAAATAGGTTCCATACCATCATTAATTATCAAATATACTACTAATTTACACGCGTAAAATGTTAGTAAACGAAAAAAGAAAAGTACTTGGGAGATTCAAACAAGCAAGTATTATTAGAGGATGATTTTCGATTGGGCGTTATTCTAATTGACTGAAATAATCAAAAAAGAAAAAGATAAATTGAAGATGCGATACGATAATTTAAGCAAACAGACTTGTTTTTTTAAATACATTTTATTTATATCTTTCCTACTGTATTCACATATATGCATGCGTGTGTGTGTGTGTATATATAGCATCACAATTTGACCGATTGAATAAGGAATTTAATGATCGAAAATACAACATTGGAAAAAGGAAATATAGCATTAGAAAAGGCATCGACATCTAAACGATGTAGAGAAGAAGAAACCATAACGAAAATAAAAAAAGGCGTCATTAAAATTTGCTGTTTATTTTAATATATATATTTGGAAAAATCAATAAAATTTGCCTTTATTAAATGAAGTTTCATAGATTTAAAAAAACAAAAGTTCTTGTTATGATTATAAAATCACCAAATGATCTTCTGATGATTCATTATTTTTATTTAATATAATGCATCAAGAACAATTTCACCATTTAACTTTTTATATAATATGTTTATGCTTCATTTTAATTTTTTTGCCATTAACAATTTATAATCAAGTAATGCAACATCTAAATCTCTTCCACTCGTACTCAAAAACACTTTATCAATAATGCCATCTAATTATAAACATAATATACACACATTTAATAATCAATTAATTTAATTGATCTCAATAATAATGAAAATAATAAAAAATACCTTTTTTGATTTTCTTATTTGATTGTTTGTTACCAAGTTCATTTATTTCTTTTAATATCACACTAATATTTTCTAGAATTAATATCATAAGATTATATTATTAAATTTATTAGTTGTTTAAAATTAAATTAGTTAAGGATTACCTTGTAGATCTTGAATTGGCCAAAACGTCTAAATCATCATTAAAAAATTCATTATCAAAATAAGCCTTTCCAATATAAAGCATTTATCTTTGTTCTTACTTACTTTGCCAACATCATTACGAATAAATCCTTTTTCATCTGTTTTGATTTCTGTTTTACTTGCCAACATATTGATTGTTTCTGCTGGATTTTTGGTTAGAGTTCCTTTCTTTTCCGTTGGCATTAATTGTAAAGGACCTAAAACCTTAGCAATCTTGTTTTTCATCTCAGGATATATTTCAAATGTTGATAAGCAATTGCTAATATTACTAAAATCAAAACTTCCCTCTAAAATCTAGGTAAAAATAAAAGATTGTTATTTGACATTTTTATATATAAAAAAATAAATCACTAATTTAAATTATTTTTTTTTACTTTTTGAATTAATTTTTCTCCTCCCACAACAACACTTGCTGTTTCTATATTTTCTAATTCTTTGGCTTCTTCTTCCTAAAAATCATTAAATCTTTTATCATAAAATTCAACAAATTCAACAAATCCAACAAATCAAAACCTCTTAAAAATATTGATCAATTAGTTACAGTTGCAAATACTAAAAAAGTAAACCTTTTGGCCTTTGGTAAAACTTTTGCTAATGTAACTGACCCACGAATAGTCGGAGTAACTTTTTCAGAAATTTCATTTAATTGAACTTTTAATCTACAAATGCTATGCTCATTACCCACTTCTAACGCCTAATAGATAACATAATTATTATTAAATTAAAATAACAAATGGGTAAATTTTATTTTTTTTAATGTATTCACCCTAAAAATATTTATAGTATCCATGAATTCAAGAGCATTTGGAGGAATTTTTTGTATTCCTTTCCTAGCATAATTTCTACGCTGTATCGAAAAATATGTATCATTATTATTAAATTTAGAAATTTTTAAATTTTTAATCAAGTGTGACTTTTTAATAAAGTGTTCTTTAGATATTTTAAAAAGTTGCAAGTTGATGGACATTTTTTTTTTTTTTTGATAAATTTGAAAGATTGATATTTCCTAAAATTTGTAGATCGATATTTTGTTTGTAATATTAATTGTAAAGTTTCTATCACAACAATGCATTTTTTTTTATAAATATTTTTAAGATTATGATGTAAATATGTGATTTTGAAATATAAAATCTGCCTACAGTCAAATCTCGTTGTAACCGACCCTCCTCTCTCTCCCTTTTCAAGTTCAAGATCAACAACCATTAAAACCAGTTCTATGCACCGGAAAGAAATTATTCACACTTCCCAATATTGATAAAGATACAATGGAAGTTTCCTCCAATCAAAAGGATTTAACTGGTTAAATCAATAACGCAGAAATCTTATAATATATCCTGAATGTTTTTTTTTTTGATTTTTGTTTATAGAGTAACTTTACTTATCTTAAAAAATTTTTAAAAATTAAATTCTAGGATTATAATCGGAAAGAAAGAAATATATCTCACATCTATTACATTAATTAGTTATTATTATTATTATTAATTATTATTATAAATAAACAAGATTTACTCGGTAAATTTTATGAAACAATAATTCATTATGATTGTATATAAAAACACATTTAAAAAATACAATCCATATAGTCAACTATTTGGTGAACTTCCACTACTTTGTACTGGATCAGATGGGCCAATATCAAAATATTCTGCTAAAAATACCCCAAATATTAAATTCAGATTATGCACTGTGTTTGGATCAATTGCTGAAATGTCATCCTAATACATAATTATTATTATATTATTATTATTTCTCAAGTTAATAATAATTACAAGATAAATTTAATTAACTCTTACACTTAAAGTATGCCATACAATAGGAAATGGATCAGCAATTAAGTGCAATACAGGAACACCTCTTGTTAAAAACGGTACATGATCATCTTCGATATGAGATTGATAGGTGTTTAAAGATCCCTCGTCGAACATTGGAACTTCCTCAGTACTTTGTGTCATATCAATTTTTTTCAACAGATTTAATTCACCTAATTTTTTTTCAATGCCTGCCATTTCTTTAAACAACCATGATGTCGTTTGGAAATAATTTACTAAAGTTGGTCTTTTTGCTCCTAATAAATCAAGTAGAATTAACGTCTCTATTCCATCTAACATTGAATTTGCTTTATAAGGAAGTGATGTCGTTTCGTTTGCTATTGTGGATTCCCATTTTGCCGCTAAATGTCTTGATAATTTATATTTATAATTATATTTATATATAATTAACATCTAAAAATCTAATTTTAATCATCTAAATTAATTTTAATTTTTAATTACCTTGAACCATATAATGAATCAGTTGATGTCCATGTATCAAATGCTTCTTCTCCATCAAAGAAAATTATTTGAAGTGTTAAATCATTACTTTTCAAATGTACATCAAATCTATTAGCCAAGTCGATTAGAAGAGCGCAGGGTAAAGCAGAATCAGTGGCACCAACAAATTGATCGTTAGGTGGTAAAAAATATTTACTGTCATAATGTGCGGCTAATACCAATCTTTTTGCCGCATTAATATTTTTTGTCACTATAACATTATTAAATGTTATCTCTCCAATTGGTGTAATGTCTGTAAATTTATCTTCTTCTATTGTCCAATTAAGTTTTAGAAAATTGGATGTTATGTATTCTTTTACCTTTGTGTTATTCTGTGTCCCGGGTACTCTTGGAATTAATATATCATTTAAATAATTCATAACTTTTGAACTTTCTGAATCTGACAAATTTCCAAATAACATAACTCCTTCATCAGATAATTTGGCATATCCATTTATAAAATTACAGAAAAATATTGTAGAAATAAATAATTCTATAACGAATTTTATTATTATCATTTTTTCAGGAATATATCAACATATGATTTAAGATTTAAGGCAAGTAAATTTTTTTATAAACCCATCGAGTATGCAATTAAATTATTGTTACACTAAACCCAGTTAACCATTTTGGATTTAGGTTTTTTGATCTTCCCAAACAAAAAATATACGCGACACATGCAAATTACACTAATACATAACAGGCAGGACCGTTAACTTGACTTGAATAAATATATTCCACAAAATAACATTTTAAAAGCAAAAGTTTTTTAAAAAATTTTTTACTACAATTCAAGTCTTAATTAATTATCAAATATAAATGAGTTGGATTTGTTTGAACTCACGAGAAAAGTTTGCAATACTTCAAACAGTATAATTACATATCTAAATACAACTACGAATTGGCTGCTATCAATTGTTAACTATACAGAAGCATGCAAAGCATGCGGCTACTATGTTCACAGCCAGTCTAATATTCAAAAACTGAATGCTTTTTCATTGTCTTTCACGTGACTTGGTTTTATTATTATTATTATTATTATTATCTCAATAGACACAAATAATTTTGGATAAATAAATTTTGAAGATATCTTGTGTCAATCAAATTTCACTAATTTAAACAAAACTTGTACTCAACTTTACTTCAATCTAATTTTACGCGTTTTTTTCCAAAATGCCGCGTATTGCAAAAGCATCTCAACCAAATGGTGTTGACAGCACTACAGATTCGATTGCTTCTAGAACCAGAAACAGACTCAAAACATCTTCTCCCGCAAGTACAAGTAAGTCTGCTAATAGCAACACTACTAATAAAACAACTACTCCTGCAACTCCAATTACCACTCCAACACAAAAAAGAAAACCAAAATCCCAGGTGACTTTAGATGTTGATACTGTTGGATCTTCAAAACTTGTTGCTACAACTACTACCATTACTACTCCAAATAAAAAAACCCCAAAATCCCAGGTGACGAGGGATGTTGATACCGTTGGATCTTCAAAACTTGTTGCCACAACCACTACTACTACAAATAAAAAACAACCAAAATCCCAGGTGACGAGGGATGTTGATACCGTTGGATCTTCAAAACTTGTTGCTACAACTACCACCACTACTACTCCATCCACTACAAACAAAAGAAAATCTGTTGCTACAACTACCACCACTACTGCTCCATCCACTACAACCAAAAGAAAACCTGTTGCTACAACTACCACCACTACTGCTCCATCCACTACAACCAAAAGAAAACCTGTTGCTACAACTACCACATCTACTACAAACAAAAGAAAATCTGTTGCCACAACTACCACCACTACTGATCAATCCACTCCAAATGAAATAACCCCCAAATCCCAGGTGACGATGGATGTTGATACCGTTGGATCTTCAAAGCTTGTTGCTACAACTACCACCACTACTGATTCATCCACTCAAAACAAAAGAAAGCTTGTTGCCACAACTACTGATCCATCCACTCCAAACAAAAGAAAATCTGTTGCCACAACTACCACCACTACTGATCAATCCACTCCAAATGAAAAAAAACCCAAATCCCAGGTGACGATAGATGTTGATATCGTTGGATCTTCAAAGCCTGTTGCTACAACTACCACCACTACTGATCCATCCACTCAAAACAAAAGAAAGCTTGTTGCCACAACTACTGATCCATCCACTCCAAACAAAAGAAAATCTGTTGCCACAACTACCACCACTACTGATCAATCCACTCCAAATGAAAAAAACCCCAAATCCCAGGTGACGATAGATGTTGATATCGTTGGATCTTCAAAACTTGTCGCTACAACCGCCACCACCACTGCTCCATCCACTCAAAACAAAAGAAAACTTGTTGCTGCAACAACAACTACAACTGCTCCACCCACTCCAAACGAAGGAAAATCTGTTGCTACAACTACCACCACCACTACTTCATCCACTCCAAACAAAAGAACCTCCAAATCCCAGGTAACGATGGATGTTGATACCACTACTGCTCCATCCACTCCAAACAAAAGAAAATCAAAGTCCCAGGCGACAATGGATGTTGACACCGTTGAATCTTCAAAACTTGTTGCTACAACTACCACCACCACTACTCCACCCACTCCAAATAAACGTGAGATAAAACCAAAATCCCAAGTAACAATGGATATTGATCCTCCAGAACCTGTTGCTTCCAATACTCCGCCCATTCAATCTCTGGAGATGATGGATGTTGATACTACTGAACCTGTTGCTTCCAATACTCCGCCCATTCAATCTCAGGAGATGATGGATGTTGATACTACTGAACCTTCAAAATCTCTTAGCAAAGAAGAAAAAAGAGTGATGGTTGATTTAGGTGATGCTGATATTCCTGATGGAGAAAAGGATGCCGCTGTCTCTGATAGTATTGATGAAACAATTTTTAAAAGAATGAATCCTATTTCATTCCTCAATTTACTTTATTATCGAACCAGGTCTCAAAAAAATCAAAGACGACCATATTATCGTTGGGAAATTGATGAAGATAGATTATGGAATTGTAAGCTCAATTATCTTGATAAAACATGGGTGTCTTGCAAAAGTAAAGATCGGAGATCGGCGAAATTCAATGTAGCATCACAAGCTACATTAGAAATTTATTCAAATACACCTGATGTTAGTAATGAAATCAAGAAAATTTTGCTTAGGATGACAGAGAATCATATAGTCTTGTTTTAAATTTTGTCGATTTTTTTTATCATGACAATATTATTATATTGAAAAAGAAATTAAAAAATTTGTTATTGCTTTTTATTTTTTATTTTTTATATACACGTGGAAAAATTAATAAAATTTCCTTTTAAATGAAGGTGATTTAAAAAAACTTTTATTTAATATTAATATAATGCAAACCATTTAAATTTTTATATAATATGTTGATGTTTCATTTTTTTTTCCATTAACAATTTATAATCAAGTGCAACATCTAAATTACTTTACCAATAATTATAAATATAATATACACATTTAATAATCAATTAATTTGATTGATCTCAATAATAATAAAATACATTTTTTAATTTCCTTATTTGATTGCTTGTTATTTCTTTTAATACTATTTATTAATTGTTTAATTAACGGACTACCTTGTAGATCTTGAATTGGCCAAAACGTCTAAATCATTAAAAAATTCATTATCAAAATAACCCTTTCCAATATGAAGTATTTGTTTTTGTTCTTACTTACTTTGCCAACATCATTACAAATAAATCATTTTTCATCTGTTTTGATTTTTGTTTTACCTGCCAACATATTAATTTTTTCTGCTGGATTTTTGGTTAGAGTTCCTTTCTTTTCCGTTGGCATTAATTGTAAAGGATCTAAAACCCTAGCAATTCGCTTTTCATACCTGAATATATTCCAAATGTTGGTAAGCAATTGCTAATATTGCTAAAATCAAAACTTAAATTTTTATTTTTTGAATTAATTTTTCTAGATGTTGAAATCGATTAAAACAGTCGACTAATTAGTCGACTACTAATACTAATACTAATACTAATACTAATACTAATACTAATACTAATACTAATACTATGCTAATATTATTGTCTGACCAATTACAATTTTTGTGTTTTATCATTCAAAATGGAAAATTCCTATGCGGAAGGGTATCAATACCATCAATATGATGATGACGACAATAGTAGTGTGTTGTCGATGATAATTTTACATGTGAATGAATAAACACTTCCAATACAAGGTCCAATAGTTCATTGGCTTCGAGTTCCAATGATTTAAGCGGTGGTTCCAAAAGACCTTTAAAAAAACGAATCGTAACACATGGTTTGTGTGTAAGTATTTTGAAAAAGTGAAAGATTCAAATGGAAATGAATTCGTAATTTGCAAATTAAAAAAATGTTATTATTATAAAAAAAAAATATAGTTTACTAAAGAAATTTTTGACCAACTAGTAGTCGGCTAGAATTTTTGGACGCGATACTAAAAAAATAAACCTTTTGGCGTTGGTAAAACTTTGTTAATGTAACTGACCCACGAATAGTTGGAGTAAATTTTTCAGAAGTTTCACTTAATTGAACTTTTAATCTACAAATGCTATGCTCATTGCCCATTTCTAATGCCTAATTGATAACATAATTATTATTAAATTAAAATAATAAATGGGCAAATTTTATTTTTAATGCATTCACCTAAGAACACTTATTGCATCCATGAATTCAAGAACATTTGAAGGAATTTTTTGTATTCCTTTTCTAGAATAATTTCTATCAAGCGTGATTTTTAATAAAGTGTTCTTTAAATATTTTAAAAAGTTGCAAGTTGATAGACTTTTTTTTTTTTTGATAAATTGAAACTTATAGATCAATATTTTGTTTGCCTCGCGATAATAAAATTTTCAATGTAATAGTAATATTGATTGTAAAGTTTCTTTAAAAAAAATCGCACCTCTCGAATTTCAATAATGCTTCTTATATTTTTTTATTTAAAAAAATTTTAATATAAATACGTGATAATTAAATCTCGTTATAACGACCCTCGTTGTAACGGGTTTCAGACATTGAAAATCCGTTATAACGAATCTACTAGTACTAGTACTGGTATAGTCACGTTATAATAATAACGGTTTTATTATAATAATCAATTAATTGCTTATAGTAACAATTGGTAGCTTCAAAATACTAAATCAAAAAAGTTTCATGGCATTTTAAAAAGTTAATCGATAAATTTTATTGTTCGTGACTCAAGCTTCAAAACCTATCGGCTAGTTTTTCTTAAACTAAAAATTGGCAGAGCCTTAACATTTTGAAAATTCCAAATTTTGTTATACAAAGCAAACTTTGTGTAACTAAAATAATTTTTTCATTAGAATACTCTTTACAAAATATATTGATTGATTTATTATTTCCTTTTTTTATTAATGATAATAATGATAAAAGTTCTTATTATATATTTACAATAAAAAAGAACAAAAGGAAATCATTATCGAATTTGGTCATGTAATTCAAAATGTAACACGAAAATTATTTATTGCATTTCTGAGCATAACTCTCAACTTTAGAAAAAAACTTGAGACGGATTTTTTACATGAATTGACACCCTTTTTAAAGCTGAACTGAATGGTGGTGGTTTTTAAAATCTTACATGTGGATCACATAATATCTCAAATTTTGAGTATAGATGACCCGCACTGTATATAATATTAAAATTCGTTATAACACGTATTCAATTAGGTTACGTTCGCTATAACGAGGTTTGTCTGTATATAAAAAAAAAATTGATTGCCAATCATCTTTATTTTTATTTTACAATTTAAATAAAAAATTTTAAAATTCAATATACAAGAAATTAAAAATGGAAAAATATCTTGATCCAAAAAAAGCTTTAAATTATTTATCAGAATATAAAAATTCTGACGGTTTATCAGCCAAAAATCTTATAGATTCACATAAACATGGAGGCTTAACTTATAATGATTTTCTTATTCTACCAGGATACATTGATTTCTTGTCTTCTGAAGTAACTTTAGAAACAAAGATTACAAGAAACATCACCTTAAAGACTCCTTTTATGAGTTCACCGATGGATACAGTCACTGAGACTAATATGGCTATAAATATGGCTGTCAGTTTTAATTTTTAGTTTATTAAAATTTAACAGATATTTGTTTTTTACTCTCAATTTTTGTATAAATGACTTTTTTTTTAATTGATTAGTTATTAGGTGGGGTTGGCGTGATTCATCATAATTGTTCGTCTGATGAACAAGCTGAAATGGTTAGAAAAGTGAAAAAATTTGAAAATGGCTTCATAACAGATCCAGTATGTTTAACTCCAAATCATACAGTGGCTGATGTACATAGGATTAAAGCTCAATTCGGTTACAGTGGCATTCCAATTACTAGTAAATATGATTATTATTTTTTTTTTTTTTGTATTTATTTTTTATTAAAAAATTTTGATTTTTATCTTTAAAATGATTATTAATATTTTTTAAAAAAATTTATCTAGCTAATGGAAAATTATACAACATATTACTTGGTATTGTTACTGCTCGTGATATTCAATTCCATGAAGATCACACCACACTACTTCGAGAAGTAATGTCAACTGATCTTGTAGTGGCACATGAAGGAGTAACTCTTGAAGAGGCAAATCAAATACTTCGATCTAGTAAAAAAGGAAAATTACCAATTGTCAACTCTCGTGGTGAATTAGTTTCTTTACTAGCCAGATCTGATCTATTGAAAAATATTAATTTTCCATTGGCCTCTAAATCTGCTCACTCCAAACAATTGATATGTGCTGCATCCATTGGGACACGTCATGAGGATAAAGCAAGATTACACAAGTTGGTTGGGGCTGGTCTAGATATTGTTGTGTTGGATTCAAGTCAAGGCAATTCCATTTATCAAGTTGAGATGATCAAATATATTAAACAAACTTACAATGATTCATTGGAAATTATTGCTGGTAATGTTGTTACCAGAGAACAGGCTGCAAATTTAATTGAAGCTGGTGCTGATGCATTACGTGTTGGAATGGGAAGTGGTAGTATATGTATTACACAAGAAAGTTAGTATGTACAAAAAAATTGTTGTTGTGTTGTTGTTGTTGTTGTTAATATTTGATTTCACAATATATAATCAATTATTAGCTATAGCAACAACAACAATAATGATAATTGCAATAATAATAACAATAACAATAATAATAACAAATTTTTTATTACTATTAAGTTATGGCTGTAGGTCGTCCACAGGGTACAGCTGTTTATAATGTAGCAGAATTTGCAAATAGATTTGGTATCCCAGTTATTGCTGATGGAGGTATACAAAACGTGGGTCACATTACAAAAGCCTTAGCATTGGGTGCATCTGCTGTAATGATGGGTGGATTGCTTGCTGGTACCACAGAATCACCTGGTGATTATTATTACCATGATGGCCAAAGATTAAAAAAATATCGTGGTATGGGATCATTGGATGCTATGGAACGTGTAATCAACGTTAACACTGTCAGTAGCAGTATTATTAATAATAGTGCTAGTAACAGCAATAATAATGGTATCATCACTACAAGTAAAAGTAATAGTAGTGGTGGTGTTAGTATTGTTGGTGGTGATGACATTGATAAAGTTGACAATGCATCAACAAAAAGATATTATTCTGAAAGAGATGTAATTAAAGTTGCACAGGGTGTAACAGGTTCAGTAGTTGATAAAGGAAGTATTAGGAAATTTTTACCTTATCTGGTAACGGGTTTACAGCATGGTTTGCAGGATATTGGTGTTAAGAGTTTAACACAATTAAGAGAGAATGTTAAATCTGGTAAAGTTAGATTTGAATTAAGAACCATGGCTGCTCAAGTCGAAGGTGGTGTACATGGATTATATACGTGAGTATTATTATTATTCTTTTTATTTGTTTTTTTTTTAGTCAATTCTAATCATTAGTTTTTTAATATCCTGTTGATATTAGATATGAAAAGCGTCTTTATTCTTAATTCAACTATTAATTATTATTGATTATTATTATTAATTTGGTGTCAAACAACACATAATTAAAATATATTTAATACAAAAAAAATGATTTTTCGTTTTGTTATTCAGCACCATTATTAAATTGGGAATTATACATATCAGCCACCTAATTTATAAATAATAATAATAATAGTTAACATATATATATATATGTCTTCTTATTATATATAATGAATATTAAAATATTTTACTTGATCATTAGTAGTTGCTTCTTCAGGTTTCTTATCAGTTCTTATTCTAACAAAACGCGGAAAACGTAATGAAACACCTTTAGATGGATCAGCCTAAAACATCAAAATATATAATCTTAATAATTATTTTTAGATGATATTATAATAAGAAAAAAAGTGTATAACTTTACTTGTCCTATTGCAGCTTTATATATAGGAGATTTACTAATATCTGCTGCTTTTATTTCCCAGACTTGACAAGGTTCAAACCAAACATCAGGTTTAGTTGCTTTATCATAATTATAATAACTTTTAGCTCCTTCAATTTCATGTTCCTTAAGGAATTTGTAATGAGTTTCTAAATCTGCATCAGAAAATCCTGTACCAAGCTTACAAATTGTTTGGTACTCTTCATTATCTGGATCAAAGCATGCAAGAAGAAAAGTTCCATAAAAATTGGTACGTTTTCCTCTTCCATAATCTGCACCAATAACCACAAGGTCCAAAGAATCTCCTGTTCCTGTAATATAGTCTTTTTTAAGCTAATACAATAATAACAATAACAATAATTATTATTAAAAATCTAAATAAATATTATATACATCTATATCTATATATGTATATATTACTTTTAACCAATTCCTTGACCGTTTAGAAGGTTCATAAGATGATTCAGATCCTTCATAAATTTTTATCATCAAACCTTCACAATTATTTTTAACACTCTCATCAAGAAATGATTGGATTTCCTCAGTGTTAGTTGCAATAATTTCATGTGCAAAGGCAAATTCTCCTTTGATTTCTTGAAAAGAATTATACAATAGTTCACGCCTTTCAATTAATGGTTTCTTGAGAAGTGACTGTTTACAATGGTAATATGAATTTATATTTGAGAAAAATTGAATCTAATCATTACTATTATAAATCTGATAATAATAAAATTAGTCATACCTCTCCATTTAGATATAATAGGTCAAATGCAAACAAACAAACTTTGACTTTTATGTCTGATCCTTTAACATCTTTTCTTTTCCTTGTACTTAACACTTGAAAAGGAAGAAGACAATCTTTTTCTAGATCCCATGCAACAACTTCACAATCAAGTATAAAAGATTTTATACCATGTTTTACAAACTGCAACAGATATTAAAGAAAATTGTTAAAAAAAATTCTATAGTAATGACCTAATACAATAATAGTAATATAAGCAATTGAAATTACCTTAGACAATTTCTCAATTATATCAGGAAATTTCACAGAATTGTCTTCCAAATTTCTACTATAAATTTTTGCAGAACCATCATCCAATTTATGAATCTATTATATCAAAATAACATGCTAAATTAGATATAATATAATATGATTTTTATCTATCTATATATGTAAAAAAGTTAAAGACAATGATTGTAATTATTATTGCTATTATCATTATTAAATTACTAACCTGAGCACGTTCACCATCATATTTAAATTCACAAGTAAACTTATGTCCTTCAACACGATCAAGTACTTCTGTTATACTTTTAGTTGGAAATGCCAACATAGGTTTAAGTGGAATTCCTTTTTTATTATTATAAAAAAGTTTTAATAAAAACTAACATGGCATTTCGCAATTTCAATATATATATATATATATGCATGTGTATAAATTTATATATTTATATACCTGGTGTCAATTTACAATGCTCTTCAAGTCCTTGTATCCCATGTTTTAGCAAGATTGGGACCATCATATCATAAGATGGAATTTCACTTTTTACAAAAAAAAATTTTTAAAAGTAATTAAGTTGATATGTTGATAATTTTATAAAAATAATATATATATAAACCTATAAACAGCTTTAACAATGATTGGGGCATCTGCTAATAATTGAATTTTGGTAGGTGTAGGTAATTTTTCATATCCTAATAAATAGATAACATTAATATTAAAGAAAATAATGTCAACAATAATGTAATTGCAGAGCAATATATTATTTATTAATTAACCTGGATCCTTATAAACAATTGCTTGTGCTAGTGAAATTAAAACGGTTTGTGCTGCTAATCCAATCCTAAGTTTTCCTTCAAGAGACCTGATTAAATATTTGGATTCTTCACCTTTGCAAGAAGCAAGCAATTGTCTGATTTCTCGAACTTTTCTTTCTTGCGACTAAACAGAAAGCAATGGATATTAATTTGGTAATAAATTAGAATAACCATAATAATAAATAATTACATCTTGCCCATTCATATGTGCAATCTTTTTCATAGATTTTAAGACTGATGGAATAGTTAATGGTTTTGGAGCATACAATGTTGGTTGAGTACTTTTACTATCCTAAAACCATAGAGAATGTATAAAATTTAAATTTAAGAGTTTAAATATACAACTGATTTAATTTAATTATTATTATCAATTATTATTAACCTTTGCCACTTTTCCTAAGTCACCCCATTTTGCCAACTCTTCTTTGATTGCTTGAGTTTTTCTACCAGTAGTATCTGCAATTACTCTAATTAATAAAGATTCACCAATACCTAATTCAACATTTTCATAATCTGGACCCACCTTTTTTTTTTTAATAAAAAAATTATAGTAAGAATCAAAAAAAGATTTACCATTAGCGAGTAATGAGTCATTATAAATAACTTACTCGATTGATACACAAATATAATGAGTCTAACAAATTTTCTGGAGTATTTTCAATAATAAGTGCAAAGAGAGTAACCAAATAATCTTGTTTTTCTAGACGTTTGGTAGTTGATTCAACCATTTCAAAAGTTTTGCATAATACAGAATAAGGCACACTAATATTATGTGTTCATTTTAGAATAATGTTAAAGATTCAGCAAGCTATATATTATTAATTATATTTCAATGTGATTAATAATCTTAACAATATCTTACGGATCTCCTTTCTTCCAGTTCACACCCAAGTCCATATCCAAGTCCATATCCACCGATTTCTGCAAAGTTACGCGATTTTTGATCATTTTGAGAGTAAATTTTGGAAATTTTGGGGATATTTTTTGTAATGTTTTGAATAAATATTCCCCCTATTTTATATATTTTGTACCCCTTTAACGTTCTTTTCAGAAATTCTCTAATACCAAACCAATCACTTTTCATAGTAAACCAATC